GCTTGTAGAACGCTTCATCGGCCTCTTCATCCTGGTTGGGTGGTCTATAACAGACTCCCAGCAGGATATCTGCCTCGTTGGCCTTCCCCCTCATCCTTACCCATAAACACTCAACCGTATCATCATCACAATCGTTGAGCTCTATACAATCGAAACACTCCCTAACATACAGAGCCACCCCACCACCTCTCCTTCCTCTCCTGTCCCTTCTGAAGAGTCTATAGCCATCCATTGCAACACTCCAATCATGAGAGTCACGATGTGACATGTGAGTCAGTATGTGGTGGTACCCTACATTTTAGAAACCATTTAAGTTGCACTGTATTAATATATAGGTGTAAAATCTCTTCCCTCCTCCCTCTCACTTCTTGCTTGCTTCCTTAGTATAACACATTTATTTTCTTTCTTCATCTGTGAGCTTTAGCATCGATATTCCCTTTTGACAAAGTCACTGAATATGTCCCCCTGTACTGGGCATTTTCTGTTATCATGGTATTTTTCTCCTGTAACCAAAGATTTTCCTTTGCACTTTCTCTCCTGTTTATGAACTTAATTTTGCCCTGGTTTTGGTGCATATACTTTGCATTTATGTACTTTTATATACTAATTTCTGTTATTTCTGTTGCATCTAGTTGTTCTCTGCACTTGCTTTGAAAAACAGAGGCTAAAATCCAAACTATACAAGAAAAAAACCCCTCAACAACAATTTATTACTTAAATATCTTAACCTTGGGGAGATCTGATTAATTGTTTTTTCAGCATTTAGGACTACACAGTACAGGAAGCCAAGTGATGTTTTTAAGGAATAGACTGTCTCTGCATGTTGCTGATAGGCACTGTATCAAAATTACACAACTGCAATTAATATGTAAAAATTCATCGACCACTTAAAGTTGGGGCAGAACCTTGTTAATGCTGAAGCACAGTGATCTAATAAACTAAGCACACATCCTTGATTTCCTTGGATTTGCAATGTTGCATGTGGTACTTCCTCGAAACTTTTCTGTAGCATTTTGAAATACCGGATTGAAGAATTAGACATCCTGTAAAAGTGGTTTTGATTTTTATAAAAATAAATATACAAATTCATGTAACGTATGTGGAACAAGTTCATTTTAGAACAGCCAGTGCTAGCTATTGGAGGGCGTGTTCCCAAGTTAAGCAGACTTCATTTGTGTCTAAGTTAAAAATCTTATTTATGAACTATTCAATCTGTGAAATTTGGACCTCATCATGGTCCCCCTTCTGCTTGTGTTTGAAAGCATATCCAAAGCAAAAGGCTGAAAAGTCAGACTGACATACCTAATTCCCTTCATATATGCAGAGTGGATAGCAGATATAATGAGAAACCATAGAGAAGCACAAGCTGGAGATGCAGTTCCTAGGACATGAACAGCTTCTTAAACCCCTTTTCCTCATAATTCATTCTAACTGTAAATATCCCCATAAGACAGAACGAAGAAATACTTTTTATATACTTTTAAAATATTATTTTATTATTTAAAATCTCCCTGAAGAAATAAAGAATGCTACTGTTCTTTTAAACAGTTCTGATTATGTGAATACTAACGGAAAAGGTTACTTAAGAGTTCTTATTAAGTGATTAGTTTTCCTTTATATTTTTATAGGAGCTTCATAATGACAATCTAAATTTAGTGCTATGGCTGCTCATAAACCATTAGGAACAACACAAATATCTTCTTTATAGATGGGAAGGTAGAAGGTCCTGAAAAATAATTCTGGTTTGAATGCGTGGAAGTAAATTTATGTAAATTGCTGTCAGTCATCTATGTATTCATTTCACTAGCAAAATAACATTGTAAATGATCTGTAGCCAACAATTCTTCACTTGAAGACATGCAATGCAAATATTTATACAAAACAGAAAAAGAAAATCACTTAAGGATAAGCATAAGTCTTACCACGCCAATAGAAAAGTAGTTATTGATGATGTTGTAAGGCACTGGGTCTCCTTTCTCATCTTTATCATTGGGTATTACTTCAAATTTCCACCTGTCTAGCAAAATCTCTGAGCTGTTCTCAATGTCTTTTAAGATCTTCATCAAATTCTCACCTTCATAACCTAGCAAAACATGAAAACAATTAATCAAACATAATAAAGTTTCATTCCATTTTCTTTCTCTTTCTAGATGACTGGAAAAATGAAAACTATGCATATAAGACCTGAAAAGCAGGATTGTGTTTGAAGTACTGACAATTTCCCAGCACCTGTTGTTAAAATGAGTACAAATACAAAGCTGATTTCTGCACTCAGCTAAATTAATGTAAACATAGATTAATTCTATAGATTTCACTGGGCATCAGATTTATACTGGAGAAAATAATTGGATCTTTGAAACTTGCCAATCCCTTGAATTTTCCAAATGATTATAGCAGTTATCCAAAAAGCTAAGGTGGTATTTTGCAAAATGTTCTTGCTATGAAATTTATCTTAATATTTAAATTCCTTTGATTTCAAAATTTATTGAAAAAAGACATACAGTAGATTTGTCTGATTAAAGGCTGACAAGAGACTGAAAGGTTAAAAGCTGTCTACTATTTTTTGTTGATTGTTTCAATGTGGTTTAGCATAACGAATCCAAAATTTGAAATCCATAAGTGATGACTTATCAGCAGAACTAATATTTTTCCATCTTTCAACAACTTCTTTTATGAGCCTCATCCTGCTCTGTAGAGAGATCTTAGTCGATAAGAAGCACTCATGTCGTTAGGTAATTAATCAGTAGTAGTAGTTCACTACACTGAATACTAAACTCAGTAGGAAACTTGTGTATACTCAGGAGTGTGTAAACAACATACAGTACGCGTGTGTGCACGCATAGAAAGTGTGGGGATTTTACTAAGTGACATTACCAACTCTGAATACTATTCAGACCAAATGACTTTGTAATAGATAACTAAGATCTGTGGATTCATTCCCTCTTCAAATCAGAAATAAATTTTCATATTCAAGTGATATGTAATGTAATTCCTGGGTCATTAAGAGTTTTAGCAAGCAAAGCCATTCAAAGCCTCCCTGCTCAAAACCCATTGTTGATGTATTTCTTTATGGTTGTATAGTATGTTTTTGTTACTGCCAACCACCACATAACAGCAGCATGCACAATTCCATTTGTCTGCATCCTTGAGATCACTCACCAGCAATTTAGTTTCTGGAAGCCCTGTCTCCTCTCCCATCTATGGAAGTTCCAGATAACCTGTGTTACGGCATTGTCTACCACAAAGCAACTGGGCAAAGAATGATGAAAGCCAGAATATTTTCATACTGTCTTTTTCTACTTTAGTTGAGATGGAATCACTGAAAACAGAAGGCAAATAAATAGAAGTGAATGGAAGGACAGGTCCTGACTAATGTAATCAAACCAGAGAGCTTTGGCTGGAACTCAGGAAAAAAAGGAGAGTTTATGACTTTTGGAAGAAGGGACAGGCAACTCAGGAGGACTACAAGGATGTCATGAGGTTATGCAGGGAGAAAATTAGAAGGGCCAAAGCCCAACTAGAATGTAATCTGGCTACTGCTTTAAAAGACAATAAAAAATGTTTCTATAAATACATTAGCAACAAAAGGAGGGTTAAGGAGAATCTCCATCCTTTATTGGATGCAGGGGGAAAAATAGTGACAAAGGAGGAAGAAAAGGCTGAGGTACTTAATGCCTTCTTTGCCTCAGTCTTTAACAGGCAGACCAGTTGTTCTCCGGGAACCCAGCCCACGGAGCCGGAAGACAGGGACGGGGAGAAGAACAAAGCCCCCATAATCCAAGGGGAAATGGTTAGCAACCTGCTACAGCACTTAGGCATGCACAAGTCTATGGGGCCAGATGGGATCCACCCAAGGGTACTGAGGGAGCTGTCGGAAGCCCTCACCAAACCACTTTCCATCATTTATAGCAGTCCTGGCTAACCGGGGAGGTCCCAGTTGACTGGAGGTTTGCCAATGTGACACCCATCTACAAGAAGGGCCAGAAAGAGGATCCGGGGAACTACAGGCCTGTCAGCCTGACCTCAGTGCCGGGGAAGGTTATGGAGCAGATCATCTTGAGTGCCATCACGCAGCACAT